GTCAGCGATGCCGTCCAGCAGCGTGCTCGGTGCGCTCGACGCGTCCGAGAAGGCGGGCCGCGTCGGCCGCCCTCGGCCCTCTGCCTCGGGTTTTCATCGGCGTCTCTGCCGATCTTCTGCTTTGGAGATCGATAATGCTGATGATGAGGATGGATGAGGTTGAGGATGGTGATGATGAGGATGAGGAAGGTGATTGTGATGACGATGATGATGATGATGAGGAGGAGGAGGAGGAGATGGAGGAGGAGCTGGAGGATGCTGACGACGACGATGACGACGATGATGATGATGATGACGACGAGTATGCTGGTGCTGATGCTGATGCTGCTGATGATGATGATTCTGATGGTGATGATGTTGCTGATGATGATGGTGATTATGGTAATGATGATGATTATAAGGATGATGCTGATGCTGATGCTGATGCTGATGCTGCTTATGATGATGATGATCAGGATGAGGATTGTGAGGATGAGGATGGTGTTGATGATGACGACAATGATGCCGATGCTGATGCTGGTGATGATGGTGGTGGTGGTGGTGGTGATGACGATGATGATCAGCATGATGATGATGATGATTTGATAATGATGCTGCTGCTGATGATGATGAGGATTGTGATGATGATGAGGATGATGATGATGATCATGATAGCGACGACGATTATACTGCTGATAATGACGACGATGATTGGATGATGATGATGAGGAGGAGGAGGTGCAGGATGATGACGACGACGACCACGACGGCGATGATGATGATGCTGCTGCTGCTGATGATGATCATGTTAATAGTGGCGATGATGATGAGGATGCTGATTAGGAGGATGAGGATGATGATGAGGATTGTGATGATGAAGATGTGGATGGTGATGGTGATGATGATGAGCAGGAGGAGGAAGAGGAGGTGGCGGATGATGACGACGATGACGACGATGCTGCTGCTGATGATGATGATGATGACGAGAATGCTGATGCTGATGCTGATGCTGATGATGATGCTGATTCTAATGATGATGATGCTGATGATGCTGCTGATGATAATGATGATGATGATGCTGATGAGCATGATGAAGAGGATGATGATGCTGCTGCTGTTGCTGATGATGATAATGATAATGCTGATCACGAGGACGATGACGATGATGATGATGATGATGCTGATGCTGATGTGATGCTGATGATGTTGATGCTGCTGCTGCTGCTGATGATGATGATGCTGATTATATTTATGATGCTGATGAGGATGAGGATGTTGAGTATGAGGATGAGGATGGTCATGTTGTTGCTGTTGTTGTTGGTGTTGACGATGGTGATGGTGGTGATTATGATATGATATGGTTATGATGCTGCTGATGATGACGAATAAGGTGCTGAGTATGATTATGATGATGCTGATCCGATGATGATGCTGCTGCTGATGATGATGATGATGATGATGATGTTGATGTTGATGATGATGATGATGATGATGATGATGATGATGATGATGATGATGATGATGATGATATGATGATGATGATGATGATGATGATGATGATGATGATGATGATGATGATGATGATGATGATGATGATGATGATGATGATGATGATGATGATGATGATGATGCTGATGCTGATGCTGATGCTGATTCTGATGATGCTGCTGCTGCTGCTACTGATGATGATGATGGTGGTGGTGGTGGTGGTGAGATGATGATGATGGTGGTGGTGGTGGTGGTGGTGGTGGTGGTGGTGATGGTGGTTGTGATGGGTTAATGAGTTTTATAATGAGTACTGATATGGAAGTTTACAGCTGGGGGGTGTCGTGAGTTTTCCCGAGTGGAGCCTAGGAGCCTCTAGGAACGAATGGGTGTCTACTGTTGTTTTGTGGGGCCCTCGGCGCCTGTGCTCCCCCGGCCCCCGAACTGGGTGGGCTCTGTGGCCTGGTTTTTGGTGCCCCGAAGGCCTGGTCCGGGGGCTCCCGCGCGCACAGCGCGGGCCTCGTGTGTGCCTCACGTTTGCTCCGCAACCGTTTGTGCTGCGACACCTTTCAAGTTTCTCGCGGGAGCTGGGCGGAGGCCCACCCGCCAACAGGACCCACGCCATGGAGCCCTGAGGGGAGCTGCGGACTCCACCCGTGGATCAGAGAGGTGCGGTCATCTGTAGCCTAGGAGCTGCAGACGACAGTTGACGGTGCGGGCCTCGCCTGGGACCGCTGAGATGGTGGTGATCGCGGCGGAAGCTCGGCGTTGCGGACTGGAGGCCCTGCGAGGAGCAGGGGCTGACGTGACGGACGAGGACGTGGCCAAGCTGGTAGCCCGACTGCGTGCGAGCATCAACGCAGGGAACGCCCTCAGGTGGAAGGGAGCCGACTGCGAGAAATTGGTCACCGCCCTGAAGCCCGTGGCCACGAGACTGGCAATGGGGAGCCCCGCGCTGCAGGCGACGGACATGCACCAGGTGCTGTGGTCCCTCGTGGAGGCGGGGGTCAAGGGCATTCAGGCGCGTGGCGGGCGACGAGAGCCGCTGGCCGAAGTTGGCACACAAGCTCTGGGCCCGCGCCATCGGCGAGGACGAGGATGAGGACGCTTTCGACTGGATGCTGCACTACGGACTGGGGCTGCTTGCAGCCGGCGCGGCGACCGTGGCCCTGGCGGATGCTGGACGGACCCGCGTGTGGGGAGGCCTGACCTTCATAGCGGGTTGCGTTGTGTTGGCACGGACACTGTCCCGACGCTTTGCTGTGCGGTGGTCCAAGTGGCGACGGCGACGAGCCTATGCAGGAGCCTGTGACAGTGGCGGCGATGGCCTGGGGTCGTACTTCACCAAGGACGGCGCGGACAGCGAGGACTCAGGGGCTACCGCCGCCGCCACGGCCCCCGCTTGCTGGCCGAGCCAGATGGGACAGGGGGCCTCCCCCCCTGCGGCGCTGCCCGCCCATCCGTGGAGCCCAGCTCCGGAGACCGCGGGTCCGTGGACGGCAGCCGAAAAGCCTTTAGTGCAGGACCTCGCGGCGCTGCGGGCGTTCAGGTCGGGCCAGACGGTGCAGGGCCACTTCGACCAGACGGCCGCTGCGCAGATGGCCCCGCCAGAGGTGGGCGGGGTGACTGCCCCTGGCCACGTTGGGGGTGGTGGCGGGGCCAGTGGCCAACGCGCGCCCTTCGCGCCGGTGGGCGCCGTGAAGCTGGGGATAGAGGCCAACATGGTGCGAGACACGCTGTCGGGGCTGCACTCGAGGTCGACCGCCGACGTGTGCTGGGCCTGGCACTTCTGGGAGAGGATCCACTCGGTGGACTGCTCTCAGGGCCTGCACACTCACCTACGGCGCCTGCTACAGCAGGGCCCCCAAGGTGGGCCGAAACCGGCCCCGAGACCTCCCAAGGAGGCCCTTCAGGCGTGCGCCGACGAGGCTCCCCTGACGGCCCCAGAATGTTTGGAGGTGGCAATAGAAAGATACGAGTGATTTGCTGAATCACAACGCGCGAAAAGCGCGCCGATGAGTTGAGTATAGTTGTATGAACATGTATACATGTATACTCTTGTATATCTATATATTTATACACATCTATATCGTGATACGCAGCCGGAGGACACGAAAATAAATATGTACACCGATAGATTGACAACTATTTCGGTTTATCGGCACATCGGTTGGTCGACCGATCAAACAAACTTTTACATCGATTTATCAGTCGATCGTCCCGTGAGTTGGTAAACCGTTAATCCCGTTCCCACCCCCGCGTGTCTGGTTCTCATTTCATGATGAGAGTATCCGTCTATCGGTCTATCGGTTTGTTTTGTCGTCCTCTGGCGGAAATTTGGCCAGGATCCGTTAATCGGTTTAATTTTTGTTCGATGTGTTCACCTTTGGTTGTCCTCCTGCCGCGCACGTTGTGACTTATGCGACCGCTGTCGTGCCGCCGCTGCCGCAAAGCGGTGAGAATAGCCTGGCCCTGTCTTCTTGCGCCCACGCGCTCCGGTGTATGGCATGAGTGAGTGAGTGAGTGACCTCGGTCTCAACATCCGTTTATTGTCATATCGGTTTTCAGTATTTACGGGGCAGTACCGCACCCCAACACCTCAACCCTCAGCCTCGCCCTGACCACCCGCACCGTTACGTTCCAATCTTGACACCCCAGCTGCACGACCCTAGCCCCAACAATCTCGCCCTGACACCTCCGCCTCTACACGAATGCCAGTGAACAATCATATCTGCACCAACTCCGTAGCCCCAACCTTCCTAATCTGAACCTTCATACCCGGGGGAGAGGGGAAAGGAGAGGGAGGGGGAAGGGGCAAAAGGTGAAGGCAAAAGGACAGAGGTACACGTGGGAGGGGCAAAAGGAGAGGGAGAGGGGGGAAAGATGGAGAGAAGGATGAGGAGACGGAGTGGGGGGGAAGACAGGAAACGGTGATGCTGACGATGGCGATGATGATGATGATGATGATGATGATGATGATGATGATGATGATGATGATGATGATGATGATGATGATGATGATGATGATGATGATGATGATGATGATGATGATGATGTTGTTGCTGATGGTGATGATGATGGTGGTAATGATGATGGTTGTGGTGGTGCTGATGATGATTCTGATTATGAGTGTGATGACGATGCTGCTGCTGATGCTGCTGCTGATGATGATGATGGTGACGAGGCGGATGTACTCGCCTTCTCTCCGTGCTCCTCCTCCCCTTCCCCTCGTCGTCGTCGTCGTCGTCGTCGTCGTCGTCGTTGTCGTCGTCGTCGTCGTCGTCGTCGCAACGTTGCCACCTGTGCCCTCGCCTCCTGGAAGCTGAACTTCTTTGAAATTCCTTCTTTAGGATTTCGTACGAACTGGAAGCGTTATGCTAATTCTGGTTAGGATTCCCTGATCTGTCTCAGAACCCATGGGAAACCCAGAGGATTCTATAGCATAACCGCCGACTGGTTCCCCGGGCCGTGGGGCCTCCACTTCTTCAAAATTATTGACCTTTCGCGAATCCCCACCAGCTACCTGGACTTGGCGCCCCGCTGGCGACTCGTTCATCGTTCACCTCGCCTTTGCGATCACCAGGCGTG